GCACCTCTAGTAATATATTTACTGAGAAAAATGGTGACGTGTTCAATACTTATTTTACCCGCTGTATACTGTCAAATTAAAATTCAAACCATCTTCTGCTGAGACGTGATGAGGTTCTAGTCGTACTGATCAAACTTCAGAAATGGCATTACACATGAATGCACAATGTGTGTTTGGTGCTCAGTATCTGTGCGAGGATGACTTAGTTATTACCACATCAAAAAAAAAAAAAAAAGAAGTTAAAACTGTTTTTGTGTCAGCTAAGCAGCCAGTTTGTCTTGGAGATAAATGATTTCTGCTCATTCAGATGATGAGTGAAGGTCTGAGTTTCTTGAAACCTGAAGTAATAAACTTGTGGCATTTTTTATTTATTCATTTAATTTTAATTGAAGGCCTCCCTGTGAGGTCAGGCTTGTTTGTGTCTTACTCAAGCTGAGGAAACTCTTTTTAAATAAAAAAAAACATTCTCAAACTCACCATCATTAATTCATTATCTGAGCCGCTTTTAATGTCACGTTCTTTTTGAAGTGATGGAAATATGGCTGTGTGTGTTTACATGTGGGTGGGTGCACATGAAAGTAATTATCACACCCATGTCAGCCAACAGTGAATATCCTTTTCTTTTTGTGGAACTTGASAGGAAGCTGTTTGTTTGCAGGAGATTGGCGTGTAATAGCTCAGCACTTCCTAACATCCTSTGTTTTTTGTTTCTCTTATAGGAAGGAAGCTGCCGGGTCACTCCAGGCTGCTGCTTGCTGATTGGACGGAGCAGGACATGCAGACTTGGCTACATGAGGATGGACTCAAGGAACTTGTCAGTTTTTAAAGCCAACAACATCGACGGATCAGAAGTTGAGTATCTGAGCAAGGAGACAATAGCTAAGCTGGGAATTGGTGAGGATGGGTTAGGGGTCAAAAAAAWTTTTTTTTTTTCAAAATATGGCTTTGATCAAAAAATATCTGGATTGGAAAAAAAAATAAGCTGCTTTTCATCTATTTTTTTAACGTTTATTTCAACAGGCAAAACRTTAAGAACAGTTTCTTATTTACAATGTTGGCCTGAGAGTGCAAAAACACTTAAAAATGGGAAGATGGGTAAGGGGGAAACAACATAAACGGTACATAAAACATATGAAATGAAAAGCACATTCATTCTTTAAAACAGTTACATGACTCCTTAAAAAGATCCTTTTCTAACATTCAGTTTTGTTTTCTACTGAAGTGGCAAAAAACATCCTTTTCCTCTGACTTGGGGTTTAGTTTCAGCATGAATCTTTTGTTTGTACTTCCACATCGTGCAGTAAGAACAGCAACCTGCATGGTGRCCTTTAACCCAAACCCCAGTTATCCCTCTGAAAACCAGATTAGAGCCACCCAGTAGTGTAGCGTCCAGTCTTTATACGAACTGGAGCCAGAGAACCAAAGCACAGGTTTGTGAGCAGGAACAAGAATATAGACAAAAGGCCTAACAACCTTAGCTTTAGTCATTTTGATCAAATCTTGAGAATAAGATTGGATGAAATCTCATACACACATAATCTGTTGGCATGGAGTGTATGAATTACTACTAGCTATTATCAGATCTGTAAAATTAACTGCATCAAGGTCAATTAGCTGTTGTAGCCAATTTGAATTGGATTGCCTCCAAAAGTAAATCAGTTCCAGATGTCAATGCGGTCATTACTTTGTTAGTTAAATTAAAACCTGTTCAGTGATTCATAAGATGTTTTCTTCAGTACAGATGAAGAAAAACAAATAATCACATTCCTGTATAATTTTAACGCTGACCATAAAATTGACATTACCGTAATCTTATCTGGATGTGGCGATCCAGTTTTTATTTGCCGACTTCCACACTTTGATAGAAAAAAATTGTCCTATCTCAGGATGTGGCATTCAGTGTTGCACAGGTTTTGAATCCTGCTCCACATGTTTCAGATGGTTTCTCTCAGACTGCTGCAGGACTGGAGCAGATCTGAAACAAGTTAGCTGCATTAACACCAGCTGTGTCCTGTCCACCTGTTGAGAAAACTTTAAAGAAAAATATTAATATTTCAATAAATCCAAAATATGCATGAGGATTGTTTCTAAAATTGGTTTTTACACAACGTCCTGTCAGAAGCTTGATGATTGGCCGTAATGAACAGAGGTGGAGGAGAAGCATGACGTCCTCAGGAGGATTTAGTTTCACTAAAAGTTGACATAAATGTTCATCTGTCAGGGGTTTGGGACAGGCTTTGTTTTTGAGGAGGAGACTGGAACAAGTTATGTAGACAAACAATGGAGTAAATGCTAAATTTGCTAATAGTAATCTTAGCTCCCTGTTGAAAATCAGCTAGCTTCAGTCTCCCAGACTGTCCTCTAGTTGTCCTGTTTGGTCCCACTTAAATCTGCAGAACACCCYTCAATGCAGGGCWATTCAACTGGCGGCCCGAGTGACCAAAGTTCGGCCCGCCAATTGGTTCATTCATCTCTTAAGCCCCAGTTTTCTACTTTAATWACTCTAARTTCTTTYAGTTGAACATAGACCTGTTTGGTATCTACAGAAAYGTCARAATCTTGGCTAGAAGCTGGTAAAAACCATTTCTATAAACACTCAAGACAGTTAAAATTACAAGCAGTTGAAAATAAAATGATGAAAGTGAAAATAAAATTTGGCAAGTCAGAGATGTCAAAATATTATTTGTGTCTAATAATATAGGCGGCATAATGCGTTTTGTTTTTGATATTGTTTATTTATCACTACTTTTATAGGGTTCTGTATGTTGTATTCACGATTAAATGCAGCAAAAT